ATACAGTCACATACATGCAGTCAGATACAGTCACATACATGCAGTCAGATACAGTCACATACATGCAGTCAGATACAGTCACATACATGCAGTCAGATACAGTCACATACATGCAGTCAGATACAGTCACATACATGCAGTCAGATACAGTCACATACATGCAGTCAGATACAGTCACATACATGCAGTCAGATACAGTCACATACATGCAGTCAGATACAGTCACATACATGCAGTCAGATACAGTCACATACATGCAGTCAGATACAGTCACATACATGCAGTCAGATACAGTCACATACATGCAGTCAGATACAGTCACATACATGCAGTCATATACAATGTCAGATACACAGTCACATACATGCAGTCAGATACAGTCACATACATGCAGTCAGATACAGTCACATACATGCAGTCATATACAGTCACATACATGCAGTCAGATACAGTCACATACATGCAGTCATATACAGTCACATACATGCAGTCATATACAATGTCAGATACATGCAGTCAGATACAGTCACATACATGCAGTCAGATACAGTCACATACATGCAGTCAGATACAATGTCAGATACACAGTCACATACATAGTAAGATACACAGTCAGATACAGTCACAGACAGTCAGTCATATACAGTCACATACATGCAGTCATATACAGTCACATACATGCAGTCAGATACAGTCACATAGATGCAGTCAGATACAGTCACATACATGCAGTCAGATACAGTCACATACATGCAGTCAGATACAGTCACATACATGCAGTCAGATACAATGTCAGATACACAGTCACATACATGCAGTCAGATACAGTCACATACATGCAGTCAGATACAATGTCAGATACACAGTCACATACATGCAGTCAGATACAGTCACATACATGCAGTCAGATACAGTCACATACATGCAGTCAGATACAGTCACATACATGCAGTCAGATACAGTCACATACATGCAGTCAGATACAGTCACATACATGCAGTCAGATACAATGTCAGATACACAGTCACATACATGCAGTCAGATACAGTCACATACATGCAGTCAGATACAGTCACATACATGCAGTCAGATACAGTCACATACATGCAGTCAGATACAGTCACATACATGCAGTCATATACAGTCACATACATGCAGTCAGATACAGTCACATACATGCAGTCAGATACAGTCACATACATGCAGTCAGATACAGTCACATACATGCAGTCAGATACAGTCACATACATGCAGTCATATACAATGTCAGATACATGCAGTCAGATACAGTCACATACATGCAGTCAGATACAGTCACATACATGCAGTCAGATACAATGTCAGATACACAGTCACATACATGCAGTCAGATACAGTCACATACATGCAGTCAGATACAGTCACATACATGCAGTCAGATACAGTCACATACATGCAGTCAGATACAGTCACATACATGCAGTCAGATACAGTCACATACATGCAGTCATATACAGTCACATACATGCAGTCAGATACAGTCACATACATGCAGTCAGATACAGTCACAGACAGTCAGTCAGATACAGTCACATACATGCAGTCATATACAGTCACATACATGCAGTCAGATACAGTCACATACATGCAGTCAGATACAGTCACATACATGCAGTCAGATACAGTCACATACATGCAGTCAGATACAGTCACATACATGCAGTCATATACAATGTCAGATACATGCAGTCAGATACAGTCACATACATGCAGTCAGATACAGTCACATACATGCAGTCAGATACAATGTCAGATACACAGTCACATACATGCAGTCAGATACAGTCACATACATGCAGTCAGATACAGTCACATACATGCAGTCAGATACAGTCACATACATGCAGTCAGATACAGTCACATACATGCAGTCAGATACAGTCACATACATGCAGTCAGATACAATGTCAGATACACAGTCACATACATGCAGTCAGATACAGTCACATACATGCAGTCAGATACAGTCACATACATGCAGTCAGATACAGTCACATACATGCAGTCAGATACAGTCACATACATGCAGTCAGATACAATGTCAGATACACAGTCACATACATGCAGTCAGATACAGTCACATACATGCAGTCAGATACAGTCACATACATGCAGTCAGATACAGTCACATACATGCAGTCAGATACAGTCACATACATGCAGTCAGATACAGTCACATACATAGTAAGATACAGTCACATACATGCAGTCATATACAGTCACATACATGCAGTCAGATACAGTCACATACATGCAGTCATATACAGTCACATACATGCAGTCATACACAGTCACATACATGCAGTCAGATACAGTCACATACATGCAGTCATATACAGTCACATACATGCAGTCAGATACAGTCACATACATGCAGTCAGATACAGTCACATACATGCAGTCAGATACAGTCACATACATGCAGTCAGATACAGTCACATACATGCAGTCAGATACAGTCACATACATGCAGTCAGATACAGTCACATACATGCAGTCAGATACAGTCACATACATGCAGTCAGATACAGTCACATACATGCAGTCAGATACAGTCACATACATGCAGTCAGATACAATGTCAGATACACAGTCACATACATGCAGTCAGATACAGTCACATACATGCAGTCAGATACAGTCACATACATGCAGTCAGATACAGTCACATACATGCAGTCAGATACAGTCACATACATGCAGTCAGATACAGTCACATACATGCAGTCAGATACAGTCACATACATGCAGTCAGATACAATGTCAGATACAATGTCACATACATGCAGTCAGATACAGTCACATACATGCAGTCAGATACAGTCACATACATGCAGTCAGATACAGTCACATACATGCAGTCAGATACAGTCACATACATGCAGTCAGATACAGTCACATACATGCAGTCATATACAGTCACATACATGCAGTCAGATACAGTCACATACATGCAGTCAGATACAGTCACAGACAGTCAGTCAGATACAGTCACATACATGCAGTCATATACAGTCACATACATGCAGTCAGATACAGTCACATACATGCAGTCAGATACAGTCACATACATGCAGTCAGATACAGTCACATACATGCAGTCAGATACAGTCACATACATGCAGTCATATACAATGTCAGATACATGCAGTCAGATACAGTCACATACATGCAGTCAGATACAGTCACATACATGCAGTCAGATACAATGTCAGATACACAGTCACATACATGCAGTCAGATACAGTCACATACATGCAGTCAGATACAGTCACATACATGCAGTCAGATACAGTCACATACATGCAGTCAGATACAGTCACATACATGCAGTCAGATACAGTCACATACATGCAGTCAGATACAATGTCAGATACACAGTCACATACATGCAGTCAGATACAGTCACATACATGCAGTCAGATACAGTCACATACATGCAGTCAGATACAGTCACATACATGCAGTCAGATACAGTCACATACATGCAGTCAGATACAGTCACATACATGCAGTCAGATACAATGTCAGATACACAGTCACATACATGCAGTCAGATACAGTCACATACATGCAGTCAGATACAGTCACATACATGCAGTCAGATACAGTCACAAACATGCAGTCAGATACAGTCACATACATGCAGTCAGATACAGTCACATACATAGTAAGATACAGTCACATACATGCAGTCAGATACAGTCACATACATGCAGTCATACACAGTCACATACATGCAGTCAGATACAGTCACATACATGCAGTCATATACAGTCACATACATGCAGTCAGATACAGTCACATACATGCAGTCATATACAGTCACATACATGCAGTCAGATACAGTCACATACATGCAGTCAGATACAGTCACATACATGCAGTCAGATACAGTCACATACATGCAGTCAGATACAGTCACATACATGCAGTCAGATACAGTCACATACATGCAGTCAGATACAGTCACATACATGCAGTCAGATACAGTCACATACATGCAGTCAGATACAGTCACATACATGCAGTCAGATACAGTCACATACATGCAGTCAGATACAGTCACATACATGCAGTCAGATACAGTCACATACATGCAGTCAGATACAGTCACATACATGCAGTCAGATACAGTCACATACATGCAGTCAGATACAGTCACATACATGCAGTCAGATACAGTCACATACATGCAGTCAGATACAGTCACATACATGCAGTCATATACAGTCACATACATGCAGTCAGATACAGTCACATACATGCAGTCATATACAATGTCAGATACACAGTCACATACATAGTAAGATACACAGTCAGATACAGTCACAGACAGTCAGTTACACAATCACGTAAATAGTCATATACAGTATAATACGTTTATAACGAACACGCTTAATTTTGGTCCGGCCATTTGCTGTATAGATGTTGTATATATGCTTATAACGTACTACGGTTATAACGAACAAAAACTAGTGGTCCATTTGAGTTCTTTATAACCGTAGTGTACTGTATATAGTCATATACACAGGAAAATAACAGTCAGATTTACAGTCACGTACACAGCCACATAGACACAAGCATCCATACACAGGCAGAGAATCAGGCAAGTTTACCTCGTGTTCAACATACTATACATATGACTTAATATATAAAACTCAAGGATCAAGGATCAAGGATCAAGGACCATAAAAAAATCATCAAACAAATAAACATTGAAATATCCTGGTACACAATCATTTGGTTACCCTCATAGCACCTTACAGTGAGAGGACAGTGTCAGGCTGTGGTCGCATCACGTGGATCACATACGCGCTACTGAGAGGAGTTTGTTTAAACAAATAATGTTTAATGCGGCCTGAAACCACTCACTCACTCACTCACTCACCCAAGGCAACGTTAGATTAAACCAGTCCGTCCATCAACTGTCTGTCTGTTTGTGCGTTTGGTTTACGTACCTTGTCCACACGTGGCACTACAGGGGCCTTCCCGGGTGGTCCAGGTGTAGCGCACAGGCAAGGTGGCGACCAGGGGCTGGTAGAACTCGTAGTAGATCTCCGGGCTGACGTCGGAGTAGGTGTAGCCGAACAGCCGGTAGACCTGCGGACGGGGGACAGAGCTTCTTGATGCACTAATTTAAAGAAACTAATAAACCCCCTCACCTAATGCTTGTCATAGGTTTGGATGACAATCCCCCATTTCTCTGTACATTAGTTTCATGACCCTCCATGTAAAGACAAACTACAAAAGCACCGTATATTTACCTTTTTTTCACGACCTTCCCCAAAGATGGGTAATATTTTTCATGACCCTCCCCTAGAAACTGTCATATTTGTGTGTGACCGTACCCTGATTCCCTGTGGCCCATCCCCCGTTATAATATTTAATATTTAATAATTACATTAAATATTATGACCTAACAGGTCTAATATTTTCAGACAATAATACTTGAAAATAATTCTTCTTTGAGAAATCTGATGAAAAATTCCTTTCAGGTGTCAATAACCGGTTGTTTTGAACTGAACGTTCATGTACGACACTCGATCGTCGTCTTCGTGGTGTAGGTAATATAGGTAGTGTCGGTACCTGTGCCTGCAGCTGTGTGGGGACGGGGCCTGGGATCTGGATACTCTCCGGGCCATACGGGGCGTACAGCACTTTAACCCCATCCCTGCTGTAGGCGTGTTTCTTGTCCTTGTGCCGGAGGTTGGTGTTGAACAGACGCTGGCCATTCACACGTATACCTGCGGGAATCAGTAACACCTGTCATAGCGACTGTATACCTGCGGGAATCAGTAACACCTGTCATAGCGACTGTATACCTGCAGGAATCAGTAACACCTGTCATAGCGACTGTATACCTGCGGGAATCAGTAACACCTGTCATAGCGACCGTATACCTGCGGGAATCAGTAACACCTGTCATAGCGACTGTATACCTGCGGGAATCAGTAACACCTGTCATAGCGACTGTATACCTGCGGGAATCAGTAACACCTGTCATAGCGACTGTATACCTGCGGGAATCAGTAACACCTGTCATAGCGACTGTATACCAGCGGGAATCAGTAACACCTGTCATAGCGACTGTATACCTGCGGGAATCAGTGACACCTGTCATAGAGACCTATACCTGCGGGAATCAGTAACACGTGTCATAGCGACTGTATACCTGCGGGAATCAGTGACACATGTCATAGCGACCGCATACCTGCGGGAATCAGTAACACCTGTCATAGCGACTGTATACCTGCGGGAATCAGTGACACCTGTCATAGAGACCTATACCTGCGGGAATCAGTAACACGTGTCATAGAGACCTATACCTGTGGGAATCAGTAACACGTGTCATAGCGACTGTATACCTGCGGGAATCAAAGACACATGTCATAGCGACCGCATACCTGCGGGAATCAGTAACACCTGTCATAGAGACCTATACCTGCGGGAATCAGTAACACCTGTCATAGAGACCTATACCTGCGGGAATCAGTAACACGTGTCATAGCGACTGTATACCTGCGGGAATCAGAGACACATGTCATAGCGACCGCATACCTGCGGGAATCAGTAACACCTGTCATAGAGACCTATACCTGCGGGAATCAGTAACACCTGTCATAGAGACCTATACCTGCGGGAATCAGTAACACCTGTCATAGCGACTGTATACCTGCGGGAATCAGTAACACCTGTCATAGCGACTGTATACCTGCGGGAATCAGTAACACCTGTCATAGCGACTGTATACCTGCGGGAATCAGTAACACCTGTCATAGCGACTGTATACCTGCGGGAATCAGTAACACCTGTCATAGCGACTGTATACCTGCGGGAATCAGTAACACCTGTCATATCGACTGTATACCTGCGGGAATCAGTAACACCTGTCATAGCGACTGTATACCTGTGGGAATCAGTAACGCGTGTCACAAAGACCGTGTACCTGCGGGAATCAGTAACACGTGTCATAGCGACCGTATACCTGCGGGGATCAGTCACAAATGACACAGCGACTGTATACATGCGGAAATCAATCACACACTTCATAGCGACTGTCTACCTGCGGGAATCAGTAACACGTGTCATAGAGACCTATACCTGCGGGAATCAGTGACACATGTCAAAGAGACCTATACCTGTGGGAATCAGTAACGCGTGTCATAGCGACTGTATACCTGCGGGAATCAGTAACACGTGTCATAGAGACCTATACCTGCGGGAATCAGTAACACGTGTCATAGCGACTGTATACCTGCGGGAATCAGTGACACATGTCATAGCGACCGCATACCTGCAGAAATCAGTAACGTTTGTCATAGCGACTGTATACCTGCGGGAAACAGAAACACGTGTGATAGTGACTGTATACCTGCGGAAATCAGTATCAGGCGTCATAGCGACCGTATACCTGCGGGAATCAGTAACATGCGACACAGCGATCGTATACTTGCGGGAATCAGTGACACGAATCATAGCGACTGTATACCTGCGGGAATCAGTAACATGTGACACAGCGACCGTATACCTGCGGGAATCAGTAACACGTGTCATAGAGACTTATACCTGCGGGAATCAGTAACACGTGTCATAGCGACCGTATACCTGCGGGAATCAGTAACATGTGACACAGCGACCGTATACCTGCGGGAATCAGTAACACGTATCATAGCGACTGTATACCTGCGGGAATCAGTAACATGTGACACAGCGACCGTATACCTGCGGGAATAAGTAACACGTATCATAGCGACCGTATATCAGCGGTAAAAAGTGACTCGTATCACAGAGATCGTATACCTGCGGGAATCAGTAACATGTGTCACAGCGACTGTATACCCGCGGGAATCAGTAACATGTGACACAGCGACCGTATACCTGCGGGAATAAGTAACACGTATCATAGCGACCGTATATCAGCGGTAAAAAGTGACTCGTATCACAGAGATCGTATACCTGCGGGAATCAGTAACATGTGTCACAGCGACTGTATACCTGTGGGAATCAGTAACATGTGACACAGGGACCGTATACCTGCGGGAATAAGTAACACGTATCATAGCGACCGTATACCTGCGGGAATCAGTGACACATATTATAGCGAACGTATATCAGCGGTAATCAGTGACACGTATCATAGCGACTGTATACCTGCGGGAATCAGTAACATGTGACACAGCGACCGTATACCTGCGGGAATCAGTAACACGTATCATAGCGACTGTATACCTGCGGGAATCAGTAACATGTGACACAGCGACTGTATACCTGCGGGAATCAGTAACACGTGTCATAGCGACTGTATACCTGTGGGAATCATTAACATGTGACACAGCGACCGTATACCTGCGGGAATCAGTAACATTTGTCATAGCGACCGCATACCTGCAGAAATCAGTAACGTTTGTCATAGCGACTGTATACCTGCGGGAAACAGAAACACGTGTGATAGTGACTGTATACCTGCTGAAATCAGTATCAGGCGTCATAGCGACCGTATACCTGCGGAAATCAGTGACACGTATCATAGCGACTGTATACCCGCGGGAATCAGTGACACATGTCATAGCGGCCGCATACCTGCAGAAATCAGTAACACGTATCATAGCGACCGTATATCAGCGGTAATCAGTGACATACTCAAGAGACCGTATACCTGCGGGAATCAGTAACATGTGTCACAGCGACCGTATACCTGCGGAAATCAGTGACACGAATCCTAGCGACTGTATACCTGCGGGGAATCAGTAACATGTGACACAGGGACCGTATACCTGCGGGAATCAGTAACACGTATCAAAGCGACCGTATACCTGCGGGAATCAGTGACACGTATCATAGCGAACGTATATCAGCGGGAATCAGTAACATGTGACACAGCGACTGTATACCTGCGGGAATCAGTAACACGTGTCATAGCGACCGATATACCTGTTGGAATCAGTAACATGTGACACAGCGACCGTATACCTGCGGGAATCAGTAACATGTGTCATAGAGACCTATACGTGCGGGAATCAGTGACAGATGTCATAGCGACCGCAAACCTGCAGAAATCAGTAACGCGTTTCATAGCGACCGTATACCTACGGGAATCAGTGACACGTATAATAGCGAACGTATACCTGCGGGAATCAGTGACACGTATCATAGCGACCGTATACCTGCGACTGTATACGTGCGGGAATGTGTAACGTTAATACCAACCGGTACTCGCCATCCAACAAGACGTTCACAGTCAGTTTCCCTCAGAGAAGATGGTCACCCATCAAAAACACATCCGATCGTAATTTCAGTTTCTTCTGACGACAAATGGGGACTTTCTAAAGGCACATGAACAAGCTGATGTCACAAGTCTCACTCACTCATCCACGTGTAGCGGTTGTCATTGGTCATCTTGATTCCTGTTGACCCGCGGGGAATCGTCAGAAACGTCACATAGCCTGAAACAGCCCGGGACACATGCATCAAACTGTAAACATTTGGAACAACATGTCCTACAATTAGTTTTCCTTTTCCTGGTTGTTAAATGACCTGCCATGCGTTGTGACCTGTCTCACGTTGCTGTCTCACGTCGCTGTCTCACGTTGCTGTCTCACGTTGCTGTCTCACGTTGCTGTCTCACGTCGCTGTCTCACGTCGCTGTCTCACGTCGCTGTCTCACGTCGCTGTCTCACGTCGCTGTCTCACGTTGCTGTCTCACGTTGCTGTCTCACGTTGCTGTCTCACGTCGCTGTCTCACGTTGCTGTCTCACGTTGCTGTCTCACGTTGCTGTCTCACGTCGCTGTCTCACGTCGCTGTCTCACGTTGCTGTCTCACGTTGCTGTCTCACGTCGCTGTCTCACGTTGCTGTCTCACGTTGCTGTCTCACGTCGCTGTCTCACGTCGCTGTCTCACGTTGCTGTCTCACGTCGCTGTCTCACGTCGCTGTCTCACGTCGCTGTCTCACGTCGCTGTCTCACGTTGCTGTCTCACGTTGCTGTCTCACGTTGCTGTCTCAGAAGGTTCAGGTCACGTGATCACTCAACTCACTTTTCTCCTTTCCTCTGAAGAAGCTCCCCGTCTTTTTCTCGCAGGTGTTGTTGCTGCCGCTGCAGATGCCACAGACGTCAAGGCGGGTGGGGGAGTCACTGACACCGTCACAGCCGAATGCCTTGTACACAGAGAGGAAGTATTACGTGTGAAGAGGTCAGCCATGCCGTGAGGGTCATAACACCGAAATTGTATTAGTATGTGTTTTATTTATGAACGTCTAGATTCTAGAAATGCCAGAAACAATAAGAAACAGCGGGATACTCCATCGGGAAAACAATGCTGTTGTCGCGATATAAATTAAATTCGATGACAGGGGCGAGAGAAAGACAACGAGTTGCATGCGGACAACTTAAGTTATACAATGACTCTACACTAACTTACCCAACACTTACTCAAAACGTACCCTAAACGTACCCAACACTTACTCAACACTTACCCTAAACTTACGCTACACTTACCCTACACTTACTCTACACTTATCCTACACATACTCAACACTTACCTTAAACGTACCCTACACTTACTCAACACTTACCCTACACTTACTCAACACTTACCATACACTTACTCAACACTTACCCTACACTTACTCAACACTTACCATACACTTACTCAACACTTACCCTACACTTACTCAACACTTACCCTATACTTACTCAACACTAACCCTATACTTACTCAACACTTACCCTAAACTTACGCTACACTTACCCTACACATACTCAACACTTACCCTACACTTACTCAACACTTACCATACACTTACTCAACACTTACCATACACTTACTCAACACTTACCCTATACTTACTCAACACTAACCCTATACTTACTCAACACTTACCCTAAACTTACGCTACACTTACCCTACACATACTCAACACTTACCTTAAACGTACCCTACACTTACTCAACACTTACCCTATACTTACTCAACACTTACCCTATACTTACTCAACACTTACCCTAAACTTACGCTACACTTACCCTACACATACTCAACACTTACCTTAAACGTACCCTACACTTACTCAACACTTACCCTATACTTACTCAACACTTACCCTATACTTACTCAACACTTACCTTAAACTTACTCTACACTAACCCTATACTTACTCAACACTTACCCTATACTTACTCAACACTTACCCTAAACTTACGCTACACTTACCCTACACATACTCAACACTTACCTTAAACGTACCCTACACTTACTCAACACTTACCCTATACTTACTCAACACTTACCCTACACTTACTCAACACTTACCCTATACTTACTCAACACTAACCCTATACTTACTCAACACTTACCCTAAACTTACGCTACACTTACCCTACACTTACTCTACACTTATCCTACACATACTCAACACTTACCTTAAACGTACCCTACACTTACTCAACACTTACCCTATACTTACTCAACACTTACCCTATACTTACTCAACACTTACCCTATACTTACTCAACACTTACCCTACACATACTCAACACTTACCTTAAACGTACCATACACTTACTCAACACTTACCCTATACTTACTCAACACTTACCTTAAACGTACCATACACTTACTCAACACTTACCCTATACTTACTCAACACTTACCCTATACTTACTCAACACTTACCTTAAACGTACCATACACTTACTCAACACTTACCCTATACTTACTCAACACTTACCCTATACTTACTCAACACTTACCCTATACTTACTCAACACTTACCATACACTTACTCAACACTTACCCCAAACTTACCCTACACTTACCCCCACACTTACTGTAGACTTACCCTACATTTACAAGTACAAACTTTTACCCCCACACTAACAGAACACTTACCCTACACTCATTCCACACTTACCCAACACTCACTCCACACTTACCCAACACTTACTCAACACTTACCTACACTTACCCTACACTCATTCTACACTTACCCAGCACTCACTCTACACCTACCCAACACTTTCTCCACACTTACCTAACACTTAACCCAAACTTACCCTACACTCACTCTACACCTACCCCACACTCACTCTAAACTTACTCAACAATTACCCTACACATACCCAACACTTACCCTACACTCATTCTACACTTACCCTGCACTCACTCTACACCTACCCAACACTTACTCCACACTTACCTAACACTTAACCCAAACTTACCCTACACTCACTCTACACCTACCCCACACTCACTCTAAACTTACTCAACAATTACCTACACATACCCAACACATACTCAACACTTACTTACACATACCAAACACTTACCCTACACTTACCCTACACTCACTCTACACCTACCCCACACTCACTCTAAACTTACTCAACAATTACCTACACATACCCAACACATACTCAACACTTACCTACACATACCCAACACTTACCCTACACTCACTCTACACCTACCCCACACTTATTCAACACTTACCTACACATACCCAACACTTACCCTACACTCACTCTACACCTACCCCACACTTATTCAACACTTACCTACACTTACTCAACACTTACCCTACACTCCCTCTACACTTACCCTACACTTATTCAACACTTATTCAACACTTACCTACACATACCCAACACTTACCCTACACTCACTCTACACCTACCCCACACTTATTCAACACTTACCTACACTAACTCAACACTTACCCTACACTCACTCTACACCTACCCAACACTTATTCAACACATACTCAACACTTACCTACACATACCCAACACTTACCCTACACTCACTCTACACCTACCCCACACTCACTCTAAACTTACTCAACACTTACCTACACATACCCATCACTTACCCTACACTCACTCTACACCTACCCTACACTCACTCTACACCTACCCTACACTCACTCTACACTTACCCTACACTCACTCTACACCTACCCTACACTCACTCTACACCTACCCTACACTCACTCTACACTTACCCTACACTCACTCTACACTTACCCTACACTCACTCTACACCTACCCCACACTCACTCTAAACTTACTCAACAATTACCTACACATACCGAACACTTACCCTACACTTATTCAACACTTATTCAACACTTACCTACACTTAACCCAAACTTACCCTACACTCACTCTACACCTACCCCACACTCACTCTAAACTTACTCAACAATTACCTACACATACCCAACACATACTCAACAATTACCTACACATACCAAACACTTACCCTACACTCACTCTACACTTACCCTACACTCACTCTACACCTACCTCACACTCACTCTAAACTTACTCAACACTTACCTACACATACCCAACACTTACCCTACACTCACTCTACACCTACCCTACACTCACTCTACACCTACCCAACACTTACTCCACACTTACTTAACACTTACCCTACACTTACCCTACACTCACTCTACACCTACCCCACACTCACTCTAAACTTACTCAACACTTACCTACACATACCAAACACTTACCCTACACTCACTCTACACCTACCCTACACTCACTCTACACCTACCCAACACTTACTCCACACTTACTTAACACTTAACCCAAACTTACCCTACACTCACTCTACACCTACCCCACACTCACTCTAAACTTACTCAACACTTACCTACACATACCCAACACTTACCCTACACTCACTCTACACCTACCCTACACTCACTCTACACCTACCCAACACTTACTCCACACTTACTTAACACTTAACCCAAACTTACCCTACACTCACTCTACACCTACCCCACACTCACTCTAAACTTACTCAACACTTACCTACACATACCCAACACTTACCCTACACTCACTCTACACCTACCCCACACTCACTCTACACCTACCCAACACTTACTCCACACTTACTTAACACTTACCCTACACTTACCCTACACTCACTCTACACCTACCCCAGACTCACTCTAAACTTACTCAACACTTACCTACACATACCCAACACTTACCCTACACTCACTCTACACCTACCCCACACTCACTCTAAACTTACCCTACACTCACTCTACACCTACCCTACACTCACTCTAAACTTACTCAACACTTACCTACACATACCCAACACTTACCCTACACTCACTCTACACCTACCCCACACTCACTCTAAACTTACTCAACACTTACCTACACATACCCAACACTTCCCTACACATACTCAACACTTACCCTACACTCACTCTACACTTACCCTACACTTATTCAACACTTACTCAACACTTAACTTATACTTACTAAACACTTACCCTTTACTTACCCAACACTTGCCCAAAACGTACTCAACACTTACCCCAAACTTACTGTACACTTACCCTACATTTACAAGTACAAACTTTCACCCCCACACTTACAGAACACTTACTCTGCACTTCCCCTACGGTTATGCAACACTTACCCTACACTTCCCCGACACACATCGGTTGTACGTGCCGCCGTCGGCGGAGTCGCACTCTGTACCGTCCTTGTAGTCGGTGCTCGTCCCGACCCCCCTCAGGTGAATCGTCTCGACCCCCTCAGGGCTGCAGTACAGCATGCACACACTGTCACCTGCCACCCACAACATCGCCCATGGCTTACATCAGGGAAGTCAACTCATCGACACAGACAACGATACATAGACAACATGACGTAATGGTGACGCTAACCGTAGAGGGGTCATATATTGGGGAAGGGTGGGCGGACACAAAGTGTGGTTATGTTGGATCTGGCGGACATGCATATAAGGAGAAATGAGCTAAATATATGTACGTGGCTTTGAAAAGTTTAAACTTATTTTTATAAACCTATCCCGGAACATCATGAGTACTTAAGAGGGCACGTGCCAACCAAGGTCGGTAGCATTATTTATAGTATCCCATGGCAACTAGTCCTTAACATCTATACCGTCCATCGACAACAGTAACCTTACCTACAGTATCCCATGGCAACTAGTCCATAACATCTACACCGTCCATCGACAACAGTAACCTTACCTACTGTATCCCCTGGCAACCAGTGGAGATGACGCCCACCAAGGGGGTAGATGTCTGTGGCGGCACACTGCTCCTCCCTGTACTGAGACTGGGGCGCGGTGCAGGGCTGGGGAGAAGGGGGTTGACCACGTCAGTTTGATTTGCAGATCCCGAACATGTCAACATATCAACATATTCCCTGGGAAATACCTACTTCCTGTTCGATATCGGCCCCTTCTCAACATTGAATCTAGTAAGTACTAAAAACACTTTCTGCACAATACATCGAGGCAGAACTGGCGAAGGACTTTCAAAGAAAAATGTTCTCACCTCAAGGTTGCAGATCTCCGCTTTTGAATCAAACCCCTCGCACTTCTTTCCCCCAAACAGAGGCCTGGATTAGAAAATAAAACTAATTCAAACGACAAATATGGTAAACCTAAGGCATCTGTATTGCTGGTAGACAAACCTAAAATAATCACTACCTAATAATTGAACCCGCGGATCTGCATATTTCCTGCTGTCGATAACAACAAACGGGATGGCATGACTCCGTACATGTGTCTGTCACCTTCCATGACTCCGCCCCCTCCCCGCCACCAACCTACCCAGAGTTCCTTGCAGATAGCCTAGTACCCCTGCCACAGGCCAGCGCCATGTGTCGATTCGTCACATCTTGCACAGACCATTCAAGATAGTGCATGTGTTTTTCATCTGTTTGATTTTTGACGACTGTACACATTTAGATAAACATATGTCCAGTCACGTGATATGCAAATTAGTCTGTGGCAGTGTGGTTATGTTAAGTCGCTACTGCGCCGGAGTGTGCCTCCCTTCCTGGGCCTGTCACCTCACATGCCTCCGCCCTTCCCTACCCGTAACTGTCACCTCCTATGACTCCGCCCTCGCTTCCCGGGCCTGTCACCAGACAAGACCCCCCCCTCTTCCCCCTCCCCTCCACCCCGCCCCTCCCTGGGTATGTCACCTACTTGGGCCTGCCACCTGACATGACTCCGCCCACTCTTCCTGGGCCTGTCACCAGACTATCTATCTATCTATCTTGGGCCTGCCACCTGACATGACTCCGCCCACTCTTCCTGGGCCTGTCACCAGACTATCTATCTATCTATCTTGGGCCTGCCACCTGACATGACTCCGCCCACTCTTCCTGGGCCTGTCACCAGACTATCTATCTATCTATCTTGGGCCTGCCACCTGACATGACTCCGCCCACTCTTCCTGGGCCTGTCACCAGACTATCTATCTATCTATCTATCTTGGGCCTGCCACCTGACATGACTCCGCCCACTCTTCCTGGGCCTGTCACCAGACTATCTATCTATCTATCTTGGGCCTGCCACCTGACATGACTCCGCCCACACTTTACCTGGGTCTGTCACATGTCCTTGTCTTGATCCTGACTCCGCCCCCGCACGTGCGGGAACACGGCGACCACTCAGAGTCCCACTCCGACCACCCCCCGTCTCGAGGTGGCGGCCCCCGGGGCCCTATGTCCGCGCACCGGGCGTTGATGCACCACTAGAATGAGAGGGCGACACCGTCATGCCAAGACAAACAACGGGCTGCTCACAGAGTATGACATGAAAGGCGGCAAGATCAAATAGCTACAACGTGGACCACCTGTGACACAAGACTGATGCCTACTGCTGATCACTGATCAGTCACAGACTGATGCCTACACTGTCTATAACTGATGCCCACATTGTCTATAACTGATGCCCACACTGTCTATAACTGATGCCTACACTGTCCATACCTGATGCCTACACTGTCTATAGCTGATGCCTGCACTGTCCATACCTGATGCCTACACTGTCCATACCTGATGACTACACTGTCTATAACTGATACTGATGCCTGCACTGTCCATACCTGATGCCTACACTGTCTATAACTGATGCCTACACTTTCCATACCTGATGCCTACACTGTCTATAACTGATGCCTACACTGTCCATACCTGATGCCTACACTGTCTATAACTGATGCCTATTCTGTCTATAACCGATGCCTACACTGTCCATACCTCATGCCTACACTGTCTATAACTGATGCCTACACTGTCTATAACTGATGACTGTACTGTCCATACCTGATGCCTACACTGTCTATAACTGATGCCTACACTGTCCATACCTGATGCCTACACTGTCTATAACTGATGCCTACACTGTCTATAACTGATGCCTACACTGTCCATACCTGATGCCTACACTGTCTATAACTGATGCCTACACTGTGTATAACTGATGACTGCACTGTCCATACCTGATGCCTACACTGTCTATAACTGATGCCTACACTGTCTATAACTGATGCCTGCACTGTCCATACCTGATGACTACACTGTCCATACCTGATGCCTACACTGTCTATAACTGATGACTGTACTGTCCATACCTGATGACTACACTGTCCATACCTGATGCCTACACTGTCTATAACTGATGCCTACACTGTCCATACCTGATGCCTACACTGTCTATAACTGAAACCTACACTGTCTATAGCTGATGCCTACACTGTCCATACCTGATGCCTACACTGTCCATACCTGATGACTACACTGTCTATAACTGATACTGATGCCTGCACTGTCCATACCTGATGCCTACACTGTCTATAACTGATGCCTACACTGTCCATACCTGATGCCTACACTGTCTATAACTGATGCCTACACTGTCCATACCTGATGCCTACACTGTCTATAACTGATGCCTACACTGTCTATAACTGATGACTATACTGTCCATACCTGATGCCTACACTGTCTATAACTGATGCCTACACTGTCCATACCTGATGCCTACACTGTCTATAACTGATGCCTACACTGTCTATAACTGATGCCTATCCTGTCCATACCTGATGCCTACACTGTCTATAACTGATGCCTACACTGTGTATAACTGATGACTGCACTGTCCATACCTGATGCCTACACTGTCTATAACTGATGCCTACACTGTCTATAACTGATGCCTGCACTGTCCATACCTGATGCCTACACTGTCTATAACTGATGACTGTACTGTCCATACCTGATGACTACACTGTCCATACCTGATGCCTACACTGTCTATAACTGATGCCTACACTGTCCATACCTGATGCCTACACTGTCTATAACTGAAACCTACACTGTCTATAGCTGATACCTGCACTGTCCATACCTGATGCCTACACTGTCCATACCTGATGACTACACTGTCTATAACTGATACTGATGCCTGCACTGTCCATACCTGATGCCTACACTGTCTATAACTGATGCCTACACTGTCCATACCTGATGCCTACACTGTCTATAACTGATGCCTACACTGTCCATACCTGATGCCTACACTGTCTATAACTGATGCCTACACTGTCTATAACCGATGCCTACACTGTCCATACCTCATGCCTACACTGTCTATAACTGATGCCTACACTGTCTATAACTGATGGCTGTACTGTCCATACCTGATGCCTACACTGTCTATAACTGATGCCTACACTGTCCATACCTGATGCCTACACTGTCTATAACTGATGCCTACACTGTCTATAACTGATGCCTACACTGTCCATACCTGATGCCTACACTGTCTATAACTGATGCCTACACTGTGTATAACTGATGACTGCACTGTCCATACCTGATGCCTACACTGTCTATAACTGATGCCTACACTGTCTATAACTGATGTCTGCACTGTCCATACCTGATGACTACACTGTCCATACCTGATGCCTACACTGTCTTTAACTGATGACTGTACTGTCCATACCTGATGACTACACTGTCCATACCTGATGCCTACACTGTCTATAACTGATGCCTACACTGTCCATACCTGGTGCCTACACTGTCTATAACTGAAAGCTACACTGTCTATAACTGATGCCTACACTGTCTATAACTGATGCCTACACTGTCTATAACTGATGCCTACCCTGTCTATAACTGATGCTTACCCTGTCTATAACTGATGCCTACACTGTCTATAAATGATGCCTACACTGTCTATAACTGATGCCTACACTGTCTATAACTGATGCCTACACTGTCTATAACTGATGCCTGCACTGTCCATACCTGATGCCTACACTGTCTATAACTGATGCCTGCACTGTCCATACCTGATGCCTACACTGTCTATAACTGATGCCTGCACTGTCCATACCTGATGACTACACTGTCCATACCTGATGACTACACTGTCCATACCTGATGACTACACTGTCCATACCTGATGACTACACTGTCTATAACTGATGCCTACACTGTCTATAACTGATGCCTACACTGTCTATAACTGATGCCTGTACTGTCCATACCTGATGACTACACTGTCCATACCTGATGCCTACACTGTCTATAACTGATGACTGTACTGTCCATAACTAATGCCTACACTGTCTATAACTGAAACCTACCCTGTCTATAACTGATGCCTACACTGTCTATAACTGATGCCTACACTGTCTATAACTGATGCCTACACTGTCTATAACTGATGCCTGCACTGTCCATACCTGATGACTGCACTGTCCATACCTGATGACTACACTGTCTATAACTGATGCCTACACTGTCTATAACTGATGCCTGCACTGTCCATACCTGATGACTGCACTGTCCATACCTGATGACTACACTGTCCATACCTGATGACTACACTGTCTATAACTGATGCCTAAACTGTCTATAACTGATGCCTACACTGTCTATAACTGATGACTGTACTGTCCATAACTAATGCCTACACTGTCTATAACTGAAACCTACCCTGTCTATAACTGATGCCTACACTGTCTATAACTGATGCCTACACTGTCTATAACTGATGCCTGCACTGTAAAAACTGATGTCTGCACTGTCTATAACTAATGCCTACATTGTCTATAACTGATGCCTACACTGTCTATAACTAATGCCTACACTGTCTATAACTGAAACCTACCCTGTCTATAACTAATGCCTACACTGTCTATAACTGATGCCTGCACTGTCTATAACTAATGCCTACGTTGTCTATAACTGACGCCTGCATTGTCTATAACTGATGCCTACATTGTCTATAACTGATGCCTACACTGTCTCAACTTGTGCCTACCTTTCTGTGCCCACACTCCGTGCCATCCATCCTGGGTGCCTGGCTCCCTGTACACTGGCCGGGGAGATGCGGGTCGAAGCAGATGAGCTTGCCGCACTCGTCCTGCAGGGGCAATACACAGTGACTACAGGGTCAGGCACAGCAGAAACATCATCTCCACACACTCCCGGCCTCCGTCAACCTTCAACTGACCCAGTCATAGAGCTACGACTATATCGTGACCCCTACACATTAACACTGACCCAGTCATAGAGCTACGACTATATCGTGACCCCTACACATTAACACTGACCCAGTCATAGAGCTACGACTATATCGTGACCCCTACACATTAACACTGACCCAGTCATAGAGCTACGACTATATCGTGACCCCTACACATTAACACTGACCCAGTCATAGAGCTACGACTATATCGTGACCCCTACACATTAACACTGGCCCAGTCATAGAGCTACGACTATATCGTGACCCCTACACATTAACACTGACCCAGTCATAGAGCTACGACTATATCGTGACCCCTACACATTAACACTGACCCAGTCATAGAGCTACGACTATATCGTGACCCCTACACATTAACACTGGCCCAGTCATAGAGCTACGACTATATCGTGACCCCTACACATTAACACTGACCCAGTCATAGAGCTACGACTATATCGTGACCGCTACACATTGCCACTGACCCAGTCATAGAGCTACGACTATATCGTGACCCCTACACATTAACACTGACCCAGTCATAGAGATACGACTATATCGTGACCCCTACACATTAACACTGACCCAGTCATAGAGCTACGACTATATCGTGACCCCTACACATTGCCACTGACCCAGTCATAGAGCTACGACTATATCGTGACCCCTACACATTAACACTGACCCAGTCATAGAGCTACGACTATATCGTGACCCCTACACATTAACACTGACCCAGTCATAGAGCTACGACTATATCGTGACCCCTACACATTAACACTGACCCAGTCATAGAGCTACGACTATATCGTGACCCCTACACATTAACACTGGCCCAGTCATAGAGCTACGACTATATCGTGACCCCTACACATTAACACTGACCCAGTCATAGAGCTACGGCTATATCGTGACCCCTACACATTAACACTGACCCAGTCATAGAGCTACGACTATATCGTGACCCCTACACATTAACACTGGCCCAGTCATAGAGCTACGACTATATCGTGACCCTTACACATTAACACTGACCCAGTCATAGAGCTACGACTATATCGTGACCGCTACACATTGCCACTGACCCAGTCATAGAGCTACGACTATATCGTGACCCCTACACATTAACACTGACCCAGTCATAGAGCTACGACTATATCGTGACCCCTACACATTAACACTGACCCAGTCATAGAGCTACGACTATATCGTGACCCCTACACATTGCCACTGACCCAGTCATAGAGCTACGACTATATCGTGACCCCTACACATTAACACTGGCCAAGTCATAGAGATACGACTATATCGCGACCCCTACACATTAACACTGACCCAGTCATAGAGCTACGACTATATCGCGACCCCTACACATTAACACTGACCCAGTCATAGAGCTACGACTATATCGTGACCCCTACACATTAACACTGACCCAGTCATAGAGCTACGACTATATCGTGACCCCTACACATTAACACTGGCCCAGTTATAGAGCTACGACTATATCGTGACCCCTACACATTAACACTGACCCAGTCATAGAGATACGACTATATCGTGACCCCTACACATTAACACTGGCCCAGTTATAGAGCTACGACTATATCGTGACCCCTACACATTAACACTGGCCCAGTTATAGAGCTACGACTATATCGTGACCCCTACACATTAACACTGGCCCAGTTATAGAGATACGACTATATCGTGACCCCTACACATTAACACTGACCCAGTCATAGAGATACGACTATATCGTGACCCCTACACATTAACACTGACCCAGTCATAGAGCTACGACTATATCGTGACCCCTACACATTAACACTGGCCCAGTTATAGAGATACGACTATATCGTGACCCCTACACATTAACACTGACCCAGTCATAGAGATACGACTATATCGTGACCCCTACACATTAACACTGACCCAGTCATAGAGCTATGACTATATCGTGACCCCTACACATTAACACTGACCCAGTCATAGAGCTACGACTATATCGTGACCCCTACACATTAACACTGGCCCAGTTATAGAGCTACGACTATATCGTGACCCCTACACATTAACACTGACCCAGTCATAGAGCTATGACTATATCGTGACCCCTACACATTAACACTGACCCAGTCATAGAGCTACGACTATATCGTGACCCCTACACATTAACACTGACCCAGTCATAGAGCTATGACTATATCGTGACCCCTACACATTAACACTGACCCAGTCATAGAGCTACGACTATATCGTGACCCCTACACATTAACACTGACCCAGTCATAGAGCTACGACTATATCGTGACCCCTACACATTAACACTGACCCAGTCATAGAGCTATGACTATATCGTGACCCCTACACATTAACACTGACCCAGTCATAGAGCTACGACTATATCGTGACCCCTACACATTAACACTGGCCCAGTTATAGAGCTACGACTATATCGTGACCCCTACACATTAACACTGGCCCAGTCATAGAGCTACGACTATATCGTGACCCCTACACATTAACACTGACCCAGTCATAGAGCTACGACTATATCGTGACCCCTACACATTAACACTGACCCAGTCATAGAGCTACGACTATATCGTGACCCCTACACATTAACACTGACCCAGTCATAGAGCTACGACTATATCGTGACCCCTACACATTAACACTGACCCAGTCATAGAGCTACGACTATATCGTGACCCCTACACATTAACACTGACCCAGTCATAGAGCTACGACTATATCGTGACCCCTACACATTAACACTGACCCAGTCATAGAGCTACGACTATATCGTGACCCCTACACATTAACACTGACCCAGTCATAGAGCTACGACTATATCGTGACCCCTACACATTAACACTGACCCAGTCATAGAGCTACGACTATATCGTGACCCCTACACATTAACACTGACCCAGTCATAGAGCTACGACTATATCGTGACCCCTACACATTAACACTGACCCAGTCATAGAGCTACGACTATATCGTGACCCCTACACATTAACACTGACCCAGTCATAGAGATACGACTATATCGTGACCCCTACACATTAACACTGACCCAGTCATAGAGCTACGGCTATATCGTGACCCCTACACATTAACACTGACCCAGTCATAGAGCTACGACTATATCGTGACCCCTACACATTAACACTGACCCAGTCATAGAGCTACGACTATATCGTGACCCCTACACATTAACACTGACCCAGTCATAGAGCTACGACTATATCGTGACCCCTACACATTAACACTGACCCAGTCATAGAGCTACGACTATATCGTGACCCCTACACATTAACACTGACCCAGTCATAGAGCTACGACTATATCGTGACCCCTACACATTAACACTGACCCAGTCATAGAGATACGACTATATCGTGACCCCTACACATTAACACTGACCCAGTCATAGAGCTACGACTATATCGTGACCCCTACACATTAACACTGACCCAGTCATAGAGCTACGACTATATCGTGACCCCTACACATTAACACTGACCCAGTCATAGAGCTACGACTATATCGTGACCCCTACACATTAACACTGACCCAGTCATAGAGCTACGACTATATCGTGACCCCTACACATTAACACTGACCCAGTCATAGAGCTACGACTATATCGTGACCCCTACACATTAACACTGACCCAGTCATAGAGCTACGACTATATCGTGACCCCTACACATTAACACTGACCCAGTCATAGAGCTACGACTATATCGCGACCCCTACACATTAACACTGACCCAGTCATAGAGCTACGACTATATCGTGACCCCTACACATTAACACTGACCCAGTCATAGAGCTACGACTATATCGTGACCCCTACACATTAACACTGACCCAGTCATAGAGCTACGACTATATCGTGACCCCTACACATTAACACTGACCCAGTCATAGAGCTACGACTATATCGTGACCCCTACACATTAACACTGACCCAGTCATAGAGCTACGACTATATCGTGACCGCTACACATTAACACTGACCCAGTCATAGAGCTACGACTATATCGTGACCCCTACACATTAACACTGACCCAGTCATAGAGCTACGACTATATCGTGACCCCTACACATTGAGCCAGACCTTTTCTGGTGATGGACTACAGGACGAAGAGTCTCCTTTAACAAGGAATGGTAAGCAGAAACAAGATATCAACACATGGTACCAAACACCTGGTGTTGTCATTGTTTTTCAGTGATTGATTTATATAATTCCCCCGACTAGTCTCAATCTTTGGATAGTCGAGACTGATGATATTCTTGCTTTGACGTTTTGACTGACGGCCCATGAGAGTGTGTTCATTCCGGGAGTAAAATCAATGGGCCCCGAAAGGAATCAATAGATTCGAGTAAATTCTCTAACTTAAAGCATGTTAAGGTTGAAACATAATTTCTCTATAATTTTGCATTATGATCTACAGAGGCGTTAGCTTGAAAATGCACGTTTAGAATGGCCAGTGAATTCCTGGCTCAGAATCAACTGGAAGAACAATAGCGTGACGTCACTATGGTTTAATGGAGCTTCAGCCGGCGTGTGACCAGCGGTGCAGCTTGTGTAAACACGTTGACCTCACCCCGCCATAGTCTTCTACCAACGACGTGCCCTCGCAGATCTTTGACCCTTGACCCAGGAACAACTCGCACTGCTTGTCGCCAGGGTAGATAACTCCTGGCAGGTCTTTGGGAAGGAGAAATCCGACCACTGTAGGCGAGTCCAGCAGACAGGCGCCGTTACCCTCGCTATAAGGACAGACGTGGTATGATCGGCTTGCATTGATATTATGGTACATGTGTCATGACCCGCCCGATATGTGATGCAAACAATATGTTCTTGTTTATATTTAGAAAAGAATTCTCGAACTTATAGGTAGTATAAGATTATGAAGATTTTACAACAAAACATTTGCCAGAGAAATTATTCCATATGTTGTTATTGCAACTGGTTATTTTCTAAATACGGATAATCAATAACTTTCCCCGTACACACATTTACAACGTACAGATCATCGGCGCACGTGGAGAAACTAGATTACTTTCTGTCAGTTGAAACGTGAAAGATTCCAAATGTTCAGTTAGGTAGAGATACAGTTTAAAGAGTTGAAACATCGAAACTAGAGGTGCTAACACATGATAGCTTGATACAGTTTAAAGAGTTGAATATGGAAACTAGAGGTTCTAACACATAATAGCTTGATACAGCTTAAAGAGTTGAACATGGAAACTAGAGGTGCTAACACATGATAGCTTGATACAGTTTAAAGAGTTGAATATGGAAACTAGAGGTGCTAACACATGATAGCTTGATACAGTTTAAAGAGTTGAACATGGAAATTAGAGGTGCTAACACATGATAGCTTGATACAGTTTAAAGAGTTGAACATGGAAACTAGAGGTGCTAACACATGATAGCTTGATACAGTTTAAAGAGTTGAACATGGAAACTAGAGGTGCTAACACATGATAGTTGATACAGTTTAAAGAGTTGAACATAGAAACTAGAGGTGCTAACACATGATAGCTTGATACAGTTTAAAGAGTTGAACATGGAAATTAGAGGTGCTAACACATGATAGCTTGATACAGTTTAAAGAGTTGAACATAGAAACTAGAGGTGCTAACACATGATAGCTTGATACAGTTTAAAGAGTTGAACATGGAAATTAGAGGTGCTAACACATGATAACTTGATACAGCTTAAAGAGTTGAACATGGAAATTAGAGGTGCTAACACATGATAGCTTGATACAGTTTAAAGAGTTGAACATGGAAATTAGAGGTGCTAACACATGATAGCTTGATACAGTTTAAAGAGTTGAACATGGAAACTAGAGGTGCTAACACATGATAGCTTGATACAGTTTAAAGAGTTGAACATAGAAACTAGAGGTGCTAACACATGATAGCTTGATACAGTTTAAAGAGTTGAACATGGAAATTAGAGGTGCTAACACATGATAGCTTGATACAGCTTAAAGAGTTGAACATGGAAATTAGAGGTGCTAACACATGATAGCTTGAAAAGTTTAAAGAGTTGAAACATGGAAACTAGAGGTGCTAACACATGATAGCTTGATACAGTTTAAAGAGTTGAAACATCGAAACTAGAGGTGCTAACACATGATAGCTTGATACAGTTTAAAGAGTTGAACATGGAAACTAGAGGTGCTAACACATGATAGCTTGATACAGCTTAAAGAGTTGAACATGGAAACTAGAGGTGCTAACATATGATAGCTTGATACAGTTTAAAGAGTTGAAACATCGAAACTAGAGGTGCTAACACATGATAGCTTGATACAGTTTAAAGAGTTGAACATGGAAACTAGAGGTGCTAACACATGATAGCTTGATACAGCTTAAAGAGTTGAACATGGAAACTAGAGGTGCTAACACATGATAGCTTGATACAGTTTAAAGAGTTGAAACATCGAAACTAGAGGTGCTAACACATGATAGCTTGTTACAGCTTAAAGAGTTGAACATGGAAACTAGAGGTGCTACCACATGATAGCTTGATACAGTTTAAAGAGTTGATAGAAATTAGAGGTGCTAACACATGATAGCTTGATACAGCTTAAAGAGTGGAATATGGAAACTAGAGGTGCTAACACATGATAACTTGATACAGTTGAAGGAGTTGAACATGGAAACTAGAGGTGCTAACACATGATAGCTTGATACAGTTTAAAGAGTTGAACATGGAAACTAGAGGTGCTAACACATGATAGCTTGATACAGTTTAAAGAGTTGAACAAGGAAATTAGAGGTGCTAACACATGATAGCTTGATACAGTTTAAAGAGTTGAACATGGAAATTAGAGGTGTTTACACATGATAGCTTGATACAGTTTAAAGAGTTGAACATGGAAACTAGAGGTGCTAACACATGATAGCTTGATACAGTTTAAAGAGTTGAACATAGAAACTAGAGGTGCTAACACATGATAGCTTGATACAGTTTAAAGAGTTGAACATAGAAACTAGAGGCGCTAACACATGATAGCTTGATACAGTTTAAAGAGTTGAACATGGAAACTAGAGGTGCTAACACATGATAGCTTGATAGAGTTTAAAGAGTTGAAACATCGAAACTAGAGGTGCTAACACATGATAGCTTGATACAGTTTAAAGAGTTGAACATGGAAACTAGAGGTGCTAACACATGATAGCTTGATACAGTTTAAAGAGTTGAAACATCGAAACTAGAGGTGCTAACACATGATAGCTTGATACAGTTTAAAGAGTTGAACATGGAAACTAGAGGTGCTAACACATGATAGCTTGATACAGCTTAAAGAGTTGAACATAGAAACTAGAGGTGCTAACACATGATAGCTTGATACAGCTTAAAGAGTTGAACATAGAAACTAGAGGTGCTAACACATGATAGCTTGATACAGCTTAAAGAGTTGAACATGGAAACTAGAGGTGCTAACACATGATAGCTTGATACAGTTTAAAGAGTTGAACATGGAAATTAGAGGTGCTAACACATGATAGCTTGATACAGTTTAAAGAGTTGAAACATCGAAACTAGAGGTGCTAACACATGATAACTTGATACAGCTTAAAGAGTTGAACATGGAAACTAGAGGTGCTAACACATGATAGCTTGATACAGTTTAAAGAGTTGAACATGGAAATTAGAGGTGCTAACACATGATAGCTTGATACAGTTTAAAGAGTTGAACATGGAAATTAGAGGTGCTAACACATGATAGCTTGATACAGTTTAAAGAGTTGAACATGGAAATTAGAGGTGCTAACACATGATAGCTTGATACAGTTTAAAGAGTTGAACATGGAAATTAGAGGTGCTAACACATGATAGCTTGATACAGTTTAAAGAGTTGAACATGGAAACTAGAGGTGCTAACACATGATAGCTTGATACAGTTTAAAGAGTTGAAACATCGAAACTTGAGGTGCTAACACATGATAGCTTGATACAGTTTAAAGAGTTGAACATGGAAACTAGAGGTGCTAACACATGATAGCTTGATACAGTTTAAAGAGTTGAACATAGAAACTAGAGGTGCTAACACATGATAGCTTGATACAGTTTAAAGAGTTGAACATGGAAACTAGAGGTGCTAACACATGATAGCTTGATACAGTTTAAAGAGTTGAACATAGAAACTAGAGGTGCTAACACATGATAGCTTGATACAGTTTAAAGAGTTTAACATGGAAACTAGAGGTGCTAACACATGATAGCTTGATACAGTTTAAAGAGTTGAACATGGAAATTAGAGGTGCTAACACATGATAGCTTGATACAGTTTAAAGAGTTGAACATGGAAATTAGATGTGTTTACACATGATAGCTTGATACAGTTTAAAGAGTTGAACATGGAAACTAGAGGTGCTAACACATGATAGCTTGATACAGTTTAAAGAGTTGAACATAGAAACTAGAGGTGCTAACACATGATAGCTTGATACAGCTTAAAGAGTTGAACATAGAAACTAGAGGTGCTAACACATGATAGCTTGATACAGCTTAAAGAGTTGAACATAGAAACTAGAGGTGCTAACACATGATAGCTTGATACAGCTTAAAGAGTTGAACATGGAAACTAGAGGTGCTAACACATGATAGCTTGATACAGTTTAAAGAGTTGAACATAGAAACTAGAGGTGCTAACACATGATAGCTTGATACAGTTTAAAGAGTTTAACATGGAAACTAGAGGTGCTTACACATGATAGCTTGATACAGTTTAAAGAGTTGAACATGGAAATTAGAGGTGCTAACACATGATAGCTTGATACAGTTTAAAGAGTTGAACATGGAAATTAGAGGTGTTTACACATGATAGCTTGATACAGTTTAAAGAGTTGAACATGGAAACTAGAGGTGCTAACACATGATAGCTTGATACAGTTTAAAGAGTTGAACATAGAAACTAGAGGTGCTAACACATGATAGCTTGATACAGCTTAAAGAGTTGAACATAGAAACTAGAGGTGCTAACACATGATAGCTTGATACAGCTTAAAGAGTTGAACATGGAAACTAGAGGTGCTAACACATGATAGCTTGATACAGCTTAAAGAGTTGAACATGGAAACTAGAGGTGCTAACACATGATAGCTTGATACAGTTTAAAGAGTTGAACATGGAAATTAGAGGTGCTAACACATGATAGCTTGATACAGTTTAAAGAGTTGAAACATCGAAACTAGAGGTGCTAACACATGATAACTTGATACAGCTTAAAGAGTTGAACATGGAAACTAGAGGTGCTAACACATGACAGCTTGATACAGTTTAAAGAGTTGAACATGGAAATTAGAGGTGCTAACACATGATAGCTTGATACAGTTTAAAGAGTTGAACATGGAAATTAGAGGTGCTAACACATGATAGCTTGATACAGTTTAAAGAGTTGAACATGGAAACTAGAGGTGCTAACACATGATAGCTTGATACAGTTTAAAGAGTTGAACATGGAAATTAGAGGTGCTAACACATGATAGCTTGATACAGTTTAAAGAGTTGAACATGGAAACTAGAGGTGCTAACACATGATAGCTTGATACAGTTTAAAGAGTTGAAACATCGAAACTAGAGGTGCTAACACATGATAACTTGATACAGTTTAAAGAGTTGAACATGGAAACTAGAGGTGCTAACACATGATAGCTTGATACAGTTTAAAGAGTTGAACATAGAAACTAGAGGTGCTAACACATGATAGCTTGATACAGTTTAAAGAGTTGAACATGGAAACTAGAGGTGCTAACACATGATAGCTTGATACAGTTTAAAGAGTTGAAACATCGAAACTAGAGGTGCTAACACATGATAGCTTGATACAGCTTAAAGAGTTGAACATGGAAACTAGAGGTGCAAACACATGATAGCTTGATACAGTTTAAAGAGTTGAACATGGAAATTAGAGGTGCTAACACATGATAGCTTGATACAGCTTAAAGAGTTGAACATGGAAATTAGAGGTGCTACCACATGATAGCTTGATACAGTTTAAAGAGTTGAACATGGAAATTAGAGGTGCTAACACATGATAGCTTGATACAGTTTAAAGAGTTGAACATGGAAATTAGAGGTGCTAACACATGATAGCTTGATACAGCTTAAAGAGTTGAACATGGAAACTAGAGGTGCTAACACATGATAGCTTGATACAGTTTAAAGAGTTGAACGTGGAAATTAGAGGTGCTAACACATGATAGCTTGATACAGCTTAAAGAGTTGAACATAGAAACTAGAGGTGCTAACAGATGATAGCTTGATACAGATGCTGACGAGACAATATAACTCACTACAGGAAGTTGTGAAGGGCGTCTTTGCTACAGGAGGACCACTTGAACGCTGTCGTCCCGCCTCCCCCGCCAGTCGACATGATGTTGGTTTTGTCGTCACAGACGTTCCCCTCACTGTCGTGCTGCATGTTCAAGCTGAAAGAAAGGGGAGATAAGCCTGATACTTTAGCCACCCTCACAGTGCTCAGTGTGTAACATACGGACCTCGTGTCTTCCGTGTGACGAGACAATGTTACACGTAGGCTACCCCACGTAAACATAAACCTATTAAACATCGTTATTTCCGCGCTGAGCATTACGCTATAATACCTCGGTATACCACCACCTCGTTATGCCACAACCTCGCGGAATCTGCTGGATAGAAGAATGTGATGCAATGTCAGGTGAGCCATTTAGATCCTTGTTGTACCTGTGACCTGTCTCATGGGCCAAGGTCAGGCCAATGTCAAGGCCGTTGTCCTCAAGTATTGAACATCTCATTTCCTTGACACATATTCCCCCCAGGGACGCTAGGCCAGTCGTCTCAGCAACCCCCTTGTGGATCAGATTCTCCCTGAAACAGCCAGTGTGTACAAGTATCTTCACAGGGTGGCGGTAAACTCAGCACAGACTTAGTCAAGGAGTAAACCACCCTACCCATGGTGGAATAAAACGAAACAGCTTTTTGGAAATACGTGTACAGTAAACTATGTTTGTAACGTACACGCTTATAACGAACTGGCTGATATAACGAACTGCTTATTTGGTCCCGGCTATTTACTGTATATATGATGTATACATGCTTATAACGCACTGCGGTTATAACGAACTAAACTTAGTGGTCTCTTTGAGTTCGTTATAACCGTAGTTATCTGTATTTACTTCTTAGAAGGGTCAGGTCCGTGCTGCTCAATATTGGCAGTGGGAATGCATTGTTAAATGTACATCATATTACCCACGAGGAGTAGACGCAGTAACTCAAACTGCTATCATCTGGAGTCTGATAGCAGAAGTGTCAGTAAATTGTGTGTTCATGTACCAGGTGTTTAGCAGTGATTCCTGTCATGATCAGAGCTCGTGGGAGTCAGCTCACCTGGTCATGATCAGAGTTCGTGGGAGTCAGCTCACCTGGTCATGATCAGAGTTCGTGGGAGTCAGCTCACCTGGTCATGATCAGAGTTCGTGGGAGTTAGCTCACCTGGTCATGATCAGAGTTCGTGGGAGTTAGCTCACCTGGTCATGATCAGAGTTCGTGGGAGTTAGCTCACCTGGTCATGATCAGAGTTCGTGGGAGTCAGCTCACCTGGTCATGATCAGAGTTCGTGGGAGTTAGCTCACCTGGTCATGATCAGAGTTCGTGGGAGTCAGCTCACCTGGTCATGATCACAGTTCGTGGGAGTCAGCTCACCTGGTCATGATCAGAGTTCGTGGGAGTCAGCTCACCTGGTCATGATCAGAGTTCGTGGGAGTCAGCTCACCTGGTCATGATCAGAATTCGTGGGAGTTAGCTCACCTGGTCCAGATCAGAATTCGTGGGAGTTAGCTCACCTGGTCATGAGGCTGGCAGCGTCCACGTGCCGGGGGTCCGTGTCACCGGGAGGGTTAAACTTCTCCTGCCACTGACAGAAACTGTTGAGGGTGTGGTCAGCGTCAGTGGTGATATTCAGGCCGTCCTGAGGGAAGTAAACATTGCCTGCATGAGTGTGTCATGAGGGGAGTAAACACGGGTCTATACGTCAACTTACCATCATGTGGTAGTGTGTCTTGAGGGAGTAAACATGGGTCTATACGTCAACTTACCATCATGTGGTAGTGTGTCATGAGGGAGTAAACATGGGTCTATACGTCAACTTACCATCATGTGGTAGTGTGTCATGAGGGAGTAAACATGGGTCTATACGTCAACTTACCATCATGTGGTAGTGTGTCATGAGGGGAGTAAACACGGGTCTATGCGTCAACTTACCATCATGTGGTAGTGTGTCATGTGGGAGTAAACACGGGTCTATACGTCAACTTACCATCATGTGGTACTGTGTCTTGAGGGGAGTAAACATAGGTCTATACGTTAACTTACCATCATGTGGTACTGTGTCTTGAGGGGAGTAAACATTGGTCTATACGTCAACTTACCATCATGTGGTACTGTGTCATGAGGGAGTAAACATGGGTCTATACGTCAACTTACCATCATGTGGTAGTGTGTCATGAGGGAGTAAACATGGGTCTATACGTCAACTAACCATCATGTGGAAGTGTGTCATGAGGGAGTAAACATGGGTCTATACGTCAACGTACCATCATGTGGTAGTGTGTCATGTGGGAGTAAACACGGGTCTGTACATCAACTTACCATCATGTGGTAGTGTGTCATGAGGGAGTAAACACGGGTCTATACGTCAACTTACCATCATGTGGTAGTGTGTCATGAGGGAGTAAACATGGGTCTATACGTCAACTTACCATCATGTGGTAGTGTGTCATGAGGGAGTAAACACGGGTCTGTACATCAACTTAGCATCATGTGGAAGTGTGTCATTAGGGAGTAAACACGGGTCTATACGTCAACTTAGCATCATGTGGTAGTGTGTCATGAGGGAGTAAACATGGGTCTATACGTCAACTTACCATCATATGGAAGTGTGTCATGAGGGAGTAAACATGGGTCTATACGTCAACTTACCATCATGTGGTAGTCTGTCATGAGGGAGTAAACACGGGTCTGTACATCAACATACCATCATGTGGTAGTGTGTAGTGTGGACTTGTTTCTGGTGTCAGCAAATTGATTGAATCGCTCGTACAACCAGACAATGACCTTCACTTGTCTACAGTCCAGGAGTCAGAGCTTCAGAGCTAACATGGTGTTAAGGTGATCGCAACATCCATACTTCAACATAGACTTACGACTGTCCCCAAAACTCTGTCCCACAACAGGTGAGACATACAGTGACCTACCATGTCGCCCTTCAGTACCACAACAGGTGAGACATACAGTGACCTACCATGTCGTCCTCCAGTACCACAACAGGTGAGACATACAGGGACCTACCATGTCGTCCTCCAGTACCACAACAGGTGAGACATACAGTGACCTACCATGTCGTCCTTCAGTACCACAACAGGTGAGACATACAGTAACCTACGATGTCGTCCTTCAGTACCACAACAGGTGAGACATACAGTGACCTACCATGTCGTCCTCCAGTACCACAACAGGTGAGACATACAGGGACCTACGATGTCGTCCTTCAGTACCACAAGAGGTGAGACATACAGGGACCTACCATGTCGTCCTCCAGTACCACAACAGGTGAGACATACAGTGACCTACCATGTCGTCCTTCAGTACCACAACAGGTGAGACATACAGTGACCTACCATGTCGTCCTTCAGTACCACAACAGGTGAGACATACAGTAACCTACGATGTCGTCCTTCAGTACCACAACAGGTGAGACATACAGTGACCTACCATGTCGTCCTCCAGTACCACAACAGGTGAGACATACAGGGACCTACGATGTCGTCCTTCAGTACCACAAGAGGTGAGACATACAGGGACCTACCATGTCGTCCTCCAGTACCACAACAGGTGAGACATACAGGGACCTACCATGTCGTCCTTCAGTACCACAACAGGTGAGACATACAGGGACCTACCATGTCGTCCTCCAGTACCACAACAGGTGAGACATACAGTGACCTACCATGTCGTCCTTCAGTACCACAACAGGTGAGACATACAGTAACCTACGATGTCGTCCTTCAGTACCACAAGAGGTGAGACATACAGGGACCTACCATGTCGTCCTCCAGTACCACAACAGGTGAGACATACAGGGACCTACCATGTCGTCCTTCAGTACCACAACAGGTGATACATACAGGGACCTACCATGTCGTCCTTCAGTACCACAAGAGGTGAGACATACAGGGACCTACCATGTCGTCCTTCAGTACCACAACAGGTGAGACATACAGTGACCTACGATGTCGTCCTTCGGTACCACAACAGGTGAGACATACAGGGACCTACCATGTCGTCCTTCAGTACCACAAGAGGTGAGACATACAGGGACCTACCATGTCGCCCTTCAGTACCACAACAGGTGAGACATACAGTGACCTACGATGTCGTCCTTCAGTACCACAAGAGGTGAGACATACAGGGACCTACCATGTCGTCCTTCAGTACCCTCAGACTGATGATGGTCAGGTGGATGGGGACACCGAGGCTGCTGTCCAGGTACCGCCCCGCCGCCTGAAGAGGGAAGATACAGTTCTAAACACACAAGGACAGGGTGACACTGTATGGATGGATATTGTCCACACAGACGAGGAATGGGTGATAATTGTTTTTTTCAGGAGCTGGTTGATAAAGTAAGGTTTAGTGCAGGAAATGGTTGATAAGGTGTATTGCATGAGTTGATAGATAAGGGCCTATGCAAAGGTTGATTTATTTGGGTTATTGTAGAGATTAGTTGATAAGGGTCATTGCAAAGGTTGATTTATTTGGGTTATTGTAGAGATTAGTTGATAAGGGTCATTGCAAAGGTTGATTTATTTGGGTTATTGTAGAGATTAGTTGATAAGGGTCATTGCAAAGGTTGATTTATTTGGGTTATTGTAGAGATTAGTTGATAAGGGTCATTGCGAAGGTTGATTTATTTGGGTTATTGTAGAGATAAGTTGATAAGGGTCATTGCAAAGGTTGATTTATTTGGATTATTGTCAGGATTAGTTGATAAGGGTCATTGCAAAGGTTGATTTATTTGGGTTTTTGTAGAGATTAGTTGATAAGGATCATTGCAAAGGTTGATTTATTTGGGTTATTGTAGAGGTTAGTTGATAAGGGTCATTGCAAAGGTTGATTTATTTGGGTTATTGTAGAGATTAGTTGATGAGGGTCATTGAAAAGGTTGATTTCTTTGGGTTATTGTAGAGATTAGTTGATAAGGGTCATTGTAAAGGTTGATTTATTTGGGTTATTGTAGAGATTAGTTGATAAGGGTCATTGCAAAGGTTGATTTATTTTGGTTATTGTAGAGATTTGTTGATAAGGGTCATTGCAAAGGTTGATTGTTTTTGGCTATTGTAGAGATTAGTTGATAAGGGTCATTGCAGGGGTTAGTGTGGATGATGGGTTATGTTCAATGCAGTTGTTAAAAGGACGAACTGAACGTGTGATGAGAATCTTTGCATTTGGTACATGTATGATGCCAGTGCAGATTGTCAGTTGAAATTCACCACATTAGCCGCTGTCAGCATGTAGTTCACCAGGTCATCGCCATGGTAACGGTGCATCGTCTTATCTGCAACCAGCAGCATCTCCAGAAACAGCCCACCTGCCTGGCGACGGACGCGACGAGGAACTATCTGCTCCGCCGTGTCTGAAACATCAACATCGTAAATGAGTTACTCCCCTTTACAGAACGGGGCAAGGCCGTGTCGGTCACACACATGTTTTGTAGCTGGTTGACTGTGACGCCAGCTGTCAATCAGAGATTGCGCTCAGTCAATGTTTACTTTGCTCGAAGAGAAAACTTGAATTAAGTAACCTACCCTGGACACCACACATCCCCCTAGCGGTCAGATGGTACACTAAATGCGGGGCACCTGCATCACGCCCAATGTTGACGTCAGCAAGGTGTTGGCCTCTGATTGGCTGGATAAGCAACTGATGGGTTGGTGTAGAAATGACACCATGCTGAAAGTAGATATGAAATGCCGAATATTGTCTGCAGATGTTAGACATGTTTCTCCTTATAGTAACATATTCGTCGAAACTGCTACATCTGGGGTGTTTTTTGTACAACCACTAGGTTTCTACAGGTGAGGTACAACTTGACCTAAACACGAGGTGAATTCAGATGAGGTATAACTTGACATAAACACTACATGACTCTACAGGTGGATAAAATTTGACATAAACATTCCGAGACTCTACAGGTGAGGTATAGCTTTACATAAACATTCCGAGACTCTACAGGTGAGGTATAACTTGACATAAACACTACGTGACTCTACAGGTGGATATAACTTGACATAAACACTCCATGACTCTACAGGTGAGGTATAACTTGACATAAACATTCCGGGACTCTCCAGGTGAGGTATAACTTGACATAAACACCCCGTGACTCTACAGGTGGATATAACTTGACATAAACACTCCGTGACTCTCCAGGTGAGGTATAACTTGACATAAACACCCCGTGACTCTACAGGTGGATATAACTAGACATAAACACTACATGATTTTACAGGTGGATATAACTTGACATAAACACTCCATGACTCTACAGGTGAGGTATAACTTGACATAAACATTCCGGGACTCTCCAGGTGAGGTATAACTTGACATAAACACCCCGTGACTCTACAGGTGGATATAACTTGACATAAACACTCCGTGACTCTCCAGGTGAGGTATAACTTGACATAAACACTCCGTGACTCTCCAGGTGAGGTATAACTTGACATAAACACCCCGTGACTCTACAGGTGGATATAACTTGACATAAACATTCCGAGACTCTCCAGGTGAGGTATAACTTGACATAAACACTCCGTGACTCTACAGGTGAGGTAAAACTTGGCATAAACACTCCGTGACTCTACAGGTGAGGTATAACTTGACATAAACACTCCGAGACTCTACAGGTGGATATAACTTGACATAAACACTCCGTGACTCTCCAGGTGAGGTATAACTTGACATAAACACCCCGTGACTCTACAGGTGGATATAACTAGACATAAACACTACATGATTTTACAGGTGGATATAACTTGACATAAACATTCCGAGACTCTCCAGGTGAGGTATAACTTGACATAAACACTCCGTGACTCTACAGGTGAGGTAAAACTTGGCATAAACACTCCGTGACTCTACAGGTGAGGTATAACTTGACATAAACACTCCGAGACTCTACAGGTGGATATAACTTGACATAAACACTACATGACTCTACAGGTGAGGTATAACTTGACATAAACACTACATGACTCTACAGGTGGATATAACTAAACATAAACACTACATGATTTTACAGGTGGATATAACTAGACATAAACACTACATGACTCTACAGGTGGATATAACTAGACATAAACACTACATGATTTTACAGGTGGATATAACTAGACATAAACACTACATGACTCTACAGGTGGATATAACTAGACATAAACACTACATGATTTTACAGGTGGATATAACTTGACATAAACACTACATGACTCTACAGGTGGATATAACTAGACATAAACACTACATGACTCTCCAGGTGAGGTATAACTTGACATAAACACTACATGACTCTACAGGTGGATATAACTTGACATAAACACTACATGACTCTACAGGTGAGGTATAACTTGACATAAACACTCCGTGACTCTACAGGTGAGGTAAAACTTGACATAAACACTACATGACTCTACAGGTGGATATAACTAGACATAAACACTCCGAGACTCTACAGGTGGATATAACTTGACATAAACACTCCGTGACTCTACAGGTGGATATAACTAGACATAAAAACTACATGACTCTACAGGTGGATATAACTAGACATAAACACTACATGACTCTACAGGTGGATATAACTTGACATAAACACTCCGAGACTCTCCAGGTGAGGTATAACTTGACATAAACACTCCGTGACTCTACAGGTGAGGTAAAACTTGGCATAAACACTACATGACTCTACAGGTAGATATAACTTGACATAAACACTACATGACTCAGATGTGGTCTGTTGTAAAATCGTGGCACCTGATGTGAATAAACTCAGTGTGTACCACGAGGGTTGTCCACAACTCACCAATCCGACACATGTGCCGAGGGCCACGAAGGAGCTGTTGTGCAGGGTAGACGTCCCCGTGTAGAAGCAGTCGCCGTCTCCCCGGGGGCAAGGGGACACCACCGCCCCACCCTTCCCATCTGTGTGGGTCATAAGGCAGCCTGGGCGTGAAGAAGTCCAAATAAGTGAGTGAGTGAATTAAAGTTAACGTCACATCGGCAATATGTTAGCCATATCGTGACGATCCTAATAAGTAGTTATTGTAGCAATTGTTATTGTCAATCTCTAGACATCCTCGGTTATCCGGTGTATTATATCGTCATGGAGATTTTACACACTTGATAATCGAGGATGCCGATTAAACTAGCATTTTTGTCACACACGGGACAAGTTTAACCAATTAAAATTAAATGCTTATAAAAAATGAATATATTTCTGAAGACGTCTCAGATGAGAAGGAGAGTGGTGTCCCTTGTATTACCTGGCGCCACTAGGTGTTGATTGCGTTCAAGGTGGAGGTCATACTCCTCTCCCAAGGCCTTCAGGCGGTACTGGAGTAGGGGTGGGTGTATCAGAGAGGTGCGGGGGTGACGACGTCGTACAGGGTGGACGATGTCGTACTTCGGCACTGTTGACACAGACGAACTGGTATTAACTCAATATCATGACGATAGACATTCTCAAGATATTTTAAAATGATATCTTCCTTACATCTAAATCGGCCAAAACGTGTCAGCCAATGTCTTACCTTCCCGACTGTTGCGAGTTCCAAAGTAGAGTTCAAGGTCATTCTCAGACAAATGGTGGTGAAACTGAAACGTCGAACAGATATATAGAGACAAGGTTCCACACCTAGGGTCAAGGTCGGATAGCTAGAAACATGGTTCGACTCCTAGAAACAAGTTTCGACATCTAGAGACAAAGTTCCACATCTACAGACAAGGTCTGACACCAAGAAACAAGGTCTGACACCAAGAGACAAGGTCTGACACCAAGAGACAAGGTCTAACACCTAGAGACAAGGTCTGACACCAAGAGAAAAGGTCTGACACCAAGAAACAAGGTCTGACACCTAGAGACAAGGTCTGACACCTAGAGACAAGGTCTGACACCTCGAGACAAGGTCTGACACCTAGAGACAAGGTCTAACACCTAGATACAACATCTGACACCTAGATACAAGGTTTGACACCTAGAGACATGGTCTAACACCTAGAGATAACGTCTAACACCTAGAGACAAGGTCTGACACCAAGAGACAAAGCCTGACACCTAGAGACAAGGTCTCACTCCTTCCCCCACTCACTCACTCACTCACTCACTCACTTACTCACTCACTTACTCACTCACCCCTTCCCCCACTCACTCCCCCACTCACTCCTTCCCCCACTCACTCACTCCCCCACCCACTCACTCACTCACTCACTGAAGCTAGTCATGACCACATGTCTCACCTTCACTGACACAGCCGTTGTCGACGTCGCACAGAGAACAAGCCACAGAGCTGTTGCCCCCACCATCACACCGTACTTCAAATACTGCAAGTACTTCACGGCGTCTACAACAGCTTACTCGTCGTTTCAGTGGCTGTCCAAGTATAGCATAATTCACAGAAGTGTTGAGGGGCAATCTTGTACAAAGAGAAACTACAACAGCGGCAACTACAACATAAACAACAATAGCTGCAGACACATTTACTTACGAACCGAAAATAAACATTTCTATCACCCCTGTACGAATATGCCATGAAATAAAACATGTCACAAAAAAAATGAAACGACATGTTCCAAGATTAACGGGTATATCAGACCAGAGGTCTCAGTGATTATTTTGTCGGAACTCCGGGGTGGGCTACAAACCTGGCTTGACGCCTGCCGGTTCAAGAGAGCGGTCGTATCAACCTGAATGTTATGGGGAAACAATGATCGCACCAATATTGTCTCTTCTGTGCATTGGGTATTCTACACACTCTCATACATAGCATTTCCTGTCTTGTCATTGAAGGACCACACAGGATCTGGTGTTGCCTAACTCTCACTCTACCTTTAACAAGAAACCAAGCCGTGACGAGCAGAATCCACTATATCGAGGGTCTAGTCTCAAACACAGTGACCAGCAATCAGTCACTATATAAAGGGAACAATGACAAACAGTCAACCACTATAACGAGGGACCCAGTGACAGTCTACCGCTATAACGAGGGACACAAACAGTCTATCACTATATCGGGGGACACAGTGACAAACAGTCTACCACTATAACGAGGGACACAAACAGTCTACCACTATAACGAGGGACACAAACAGTCTACCACTATAACGAGGGACACAAACAGTCTACCACTATATCGAGGGACACAAACAGTCTACCACTATAACGAGGGACACAAACAGTCTACCACTATAACGAGGGACACAAACAGTCTACCACTATAACGAGGGACACAAACAGTCTACCACTATAACGAGGGACACAAACAGTCTACCACTATAACGAGGGACACAAACAGTCTACCACTATAACGAGGGACACAAACAGTCTACCACTATAACGAGGGACACAAACAGTCTACCACTATAACGAGGGACACAAACAGTCTACCACTATAACGAGGGACACAAACAGTCTACCACTATAACGAGGGACACAAACAGTCTACCACTATAACGAGGGACACAAACAGTCTACCACTATATCGAGGGACACAAACAGTCTACCACTATAACGAGGGACACAAACAGTCTACCACTATAACGAGTGACACAAACAGTCTACTACTATAACGAGGGACACAAACAGTCTACCCCTATAACGAGGGACACAAACAGTTTATCACTATATCGAGGGACACAGTGACAAACAGTCTACCACTATAACGAGGGACACAGTGACAAACAGTCTACCATTATATCGAGGGACACAGTGACAGTCTACCACTATAACGAGGGACACAGTGACAGTCTACCACTATAACGAGGGACACAAACAGTCTACCACTATAACGAGGGACACAGTGACAAACAGTCTACCATTATATCGAGGGACACAAACAGTCTACCACTATAACGAGGGACCCAGTGACAGTCTACCACTATAACGAGGGACACAAACAGTCTACCACTATAACGAGGGACACAAACAGTCTACTACTATAACGAGGGACACAGTGACAAACAGTCTACCACTATATCGAGGGACACAGTGACAGTCTACCACTATAACGAGGGACACAAACAGTCTACCACCATAACGAGGGACCTAGTGACAAACAGTCTACCACTATATCGAGGGACACAGTGACAGTCTACCACTATAACGAGGGACCCAGTGACAGTCTACCACTATAACGAGGGACCCAGTGACAAACAGTCTACCACTATAGCGAGGGACCCAGTGACACACAGTCTACCACTATATCGAGGGACACAGTGACAAACAGTCTACCATTATATCGAGGGACACAGTGACAAACAGCGAGGGGCGAAGGCCCGAGGGCATTTCCTACGGTAAAACATGCTTGCTTTTCTATAATGCCCACGGTTCATGTTTTATCCGACTTATAAACCGTCAGAAAAAGCGAAAGAATATGCAAAAAATATAGCACGTACTCGATAGCAATTGAGGAACACGTGGCACAACAACGCAACAACGCGAACGGTGATTGATTGATTGAATGATTATAAGAAAGGTTTATGGGTGTTCGGGCAACAAGGTCCATGTACACCTTGCCCATAATAAAGGTTTGCTAAGTACCTCGATACTTCACAGTGTAGTAAGACTGCCGGACGCTTTAAAATCACCACACACTAGTCTGAGATTGTCTGACATATTCAATAGAGAACTGAAGACATCATAGGTAGCAAGAGCATTATTATAGACAGGAAAATGGAGACTGATCTTTTATCCTTCAAATGTTTATTGACTTCAGTCCCTTCTGATTGGGATGGTGGAACCTTATTTCACTAAATGACAGTGAGTGAGTGCGTTTAGCACTACCTCCTCTAAAACCAAACTGACGATCTTTACGTAGGCAGACATAACCTTCCCAACGGAATTGCTGGTTAAGATTCAAGAACGTCTCCTGAAGACATATAACATCTGGCATTAGGTCAGACTGTTATTAAAAACCTTAAACCCTGGACCACAAGCACTTAGTGATCTAGCATCAAGAGAGCCATAAGAAGGATGGGTTAAGACTTCCATTGTTGACCCTCAACCATGCTCGTCAGATCATCAGGGGACAATCTTAACCCCAAGAGGGACTGGGCAGCTGAAGCTATCGTCTGGAGACCATCAGACTAGAATGCACGAGTAGTGCCAAGATTAACTCGTCCTCAATTTCACTCATCTCAATATCCAGATCAATACCAGAGATGACTCCACGGGTTCTCATTAATGATTCAGGTTCATGAGTGGTGACAAAATGTTCAACAAGTTCTGTGACTTGCAAAAGTGTTTGGGCAGGCTCAACAGTTTTTGCTGTGACACTAACATCTCCCCTGGCCATCCACTGAACACTGACTATTTCTGTGGTGACCTTAGCCAAGGCTCTAGCCAAAGCGCGCTGGGTCATCAGTTGACAGAGGGTCGTTGAACCATCATCATATTCATCTACATCGGCTTTAAAGATAAATGTGGTTGATTTGATCCGCACTGGCTCATTAAATACAAAAGTAAGATCAGACCACGCAGTAGGGGGGACAGTATTTGGTTGCTTGGCAACACAGGCTTTTTTAGAAGTACCATCCTCCCTGAAGCCACCGCTTTGAACCGTCCTCTCATTCCATTCTGTTGTCAGCCATTGCCGAGGACAATCCCCAACAACTGACTGTAACAAACAGCAAACACCAAAAAGATTTTAAAACTTTGAATGCAATGAAGTCAAAAGCCAAAACAACCAAAAAGTAAGTACCATAAACAATCAAGTGTGTTGTATAACAGTAGACAAGTTGCTGAGAGGCAAAAGGCGTCCGAACTGCGGTGATATTGTGTGCTGCTGGTTTGTGCGCTTTCGTTCCCTGTTATGAAACAAGTTGCGCGAACACAACCACGTGCAGCACGCACCCGCTGCAGCCGATATCTCAATTAGCGTCAGTCACGTGGGGTAGCATCAAGATGGAACGTGGCGAAGATGGCGACATTTTGATAACGCAGTTCACTTCTTTCGAGAACACAGGGGTAGGCCACAGGAGTGTTCAAGCGATGGCAGGGAGACGGAGAAGCTGGAACATCTCGGACACTATACACTTGCCCTCTGCTTGTTTAAGAAACGACCTCCAACTACTTGATGACGACAGTTTGAACACTTCGTTGAAATGTTTTATATTCAAGGCGAGAAACTGACTTCAGCAAAAGATCGAACGAATTGTAACTTTAGCAGTACCAACTACTGGATATTGAGATTTATTATAAACAATGCCAATTCACCAACATGTATCCACCTTCTGTGTACCGACCCTTATAAATCTGCAGCATTCACTGATATTGAACAGGCTGATGTACTCAGTAATTACTTCGTTTCTATTTGTGATGTTGATGGCGGTGATGAGCCGCTCCCGGGTTTCAGTCAACGTTGTGAAACCTCTCTCTCGGATATATCTGTTACCCAATCAGACATAAGCGATTTCACAAAGACACTACCATGCAATAAATCAAGCGGACCAGATAATACAAACCCCAGACTTTCAAAACCCTTGGCTGATAGTATTGTCATCCCTTTATAATTTTTAATCAATCGGTACAAGAAGCTATCTTTGCAGAAAAAATGGAAACTCGCTCACGTCATGCCATTATACAAGAAAGGTGACAAAGCACTTCCCTCAAACTACAGACCAATTAGTCTGTTATCAATTCTTGGAAAGTTACAGGAGTGATTAGTCTTTAAACGGTTATATAACTATTTCAATATGAATAGTCTCCTGTACAAATATCAATCTGGCTTTGTACCAGGACATTCTACTACTTCCCAAATAAGAGAAATATATAATGATATTGTCTCATATGTTGACAAGCATGAATACTATTGTACTTTACTTGTTTGAAAAATACACTAAAATATTGGTGTCAAAGGAACTTTTGTTGTTGAGTGACACCAATATTTTAGTGCATTTTTCAAACAAGTAAATTTGGTTTTCAATATTGTAGTACATGTATGGAATCAAGTCACATAAACGCAACTACTACAGAAAAGCATGCATTCCATGCAAAATGTGACTTTTATGCAAGCCCGATGCATTTCACTGCCCAAAAATGGGTATAAAACTTGGGGGCCTTAACAGAATTTCATATGCATTGTTTAGCATCGTGCTGACAACAACCACTCAGAAAAACAACAAAATTACGCAATTATTCAACATTACGAAATGCCACGCCTGTCCGAAAATGAGCGTCTGCGAGCTATTGGTTTGCTTGAAGCAGTCAACGTGATGTTGCAAGACAATTTTAACGTCCACAGAAACACCATTTGGTGTTTATGGCAACGTTGGCAACAGACGAATGCAATCAGAGACCATCCTCGGAGTGGCAGCCTCAGATGTGCAGGGATTGTCGCTAGACATCCCATTTTGACACGAAACCACCGTCAAGCACGTCTACAGTGGTGCAGACAGCGTCTACGCTGGACGGCCATGCAGTGAGGACAAGTTCTATTCACTGACGAGTC